TCCTGGCGGAACTTTTTTTAATCCATAGACTTTAGAAGAAAAGAGATGTATCCAAAAATTAGTGTGTATTTGTGTGTAATTGTGTATGTATGAATAAAACTAGTGCATGCATAAACTTCGGAGAAATTCAAGTTTCCGCTACGCGAACGTTTGGCCATTAGCTAGTTTTCATATAAAGCGCTTACATAGAGAGCTGTAGATTTTTACATACGTTGTTTTGAATTTGCGTATATTTGTTTAAAAAACAGATTTAGAAAAAATCGTAGGGTTTAAAAGATAAAAATATAAACGTAAAATACGCTTATTAGGTCTTAGTTCTTAAAGTATGCACTTTAGGGTCTAGATTTTCACGTTTATACAAACCTTGTAAGTGTCTGCAACATGTTGCCAAGAATCAATGATGTTCCGTTAGTAATTAAATAGTTATAGGACAAATTTACCATGAATAGATCACTGTTTACAAAGCAGTCAAATATCACGACGTTCTAAATGAATTGCATGGTAAAATGTATGCCAATAATTAGTGTATTTATTCAACTATTCACATGCAAAATTTCATGTCATTAAATTCAGTAATTAAAGAAAAACAATTATAATACTGACGAAGTATCGAAAACCTACATAACCCGACCAAGTTCGGATGGCTACAAAAAAGCGGCTGTGCAATATATCTAGGTAACATCCCAAAATTTACTTGGTACAGGTGATAACACACTTGTTGTTTCGAAATAATTTATAGGTCATTTATTTTTGGACACTTACTTTTTTAAATGTATTTGACTCTGACAGAAAGTAGGTACTATTTACGTAGGTACTTTATTTAAGTATGCGCTTGAGACTTGAGATATAATCTAATTATATTTAAGACAAATAAAATTCATACAGCTAATTTCTATTGAAGATTTCACGGATCAGGATTCTAACTATAGACCCCTTAGAGAAATTAAATATTTACCACATGTAAGTACTTAAGTACTACTGTTTAGGTAAATATTTATCATATTGTAGCTTATTACACTATTTAACCAATATTTTTATTACACTATTTAACCAATAGAGGCATGCACGAGCGTGTGTACGATACTGTGTTTTATTTTTTCCTAAAACTTGTGTACGATACTGTACCATATTAATAAATGCTATATTGGAAAGTTAAGAACGTTTCTTAGATATATGGCACGGCCGCTTTTTTGTAGCCATCCGAACTTGGTCGGGTTATGTAGGTTTTCGATGCTTCGTCAGTATTATAATTGTTTTTCTTTAATTACTGATTTTAATGACATGAAATTTTGCATGTGAATAGTTGAATGAATACACTAATTACTGGCATACATTTTACCATGCAATTCATTTAGAACGTCGTGATATTTGACTGCTTTGTAAACAGTGATCTATTCATGGTAAATTTGTCCTATAACTATTTAATTATTAACGGAACATCATTGATACTTGGCAACATGTTGCAGACACTTACAAGGTTTGTATAAACGTGAAAATCTAGACCCTAAAGTGCATACTTTAAGAACTAAGACCTAATAAGCGTATTTTACGTTTATATTTTTATCTTTTAAACCCTACGATTTTTTCTAAATCTGTTTTTTAAACAAATATACACAAATTCAAAACAATGTATGTAAAAATCTACAGCTCTCTATGTAAGCGCTTTATATGAAAACTAGCTAATGGCCAAACGTTCGCGTAGTGGAAACTTGAATATCTCCGAAGTTTATGCATGCACTAGTTTTATTCATACATACACAATTACACACAAATACACACTAATTTTTGGATACATCTCTTTTCTTCTAAAGTCTATGGATTAAAAAAAGTTCCGCCAGGACAACGTTCGCCCAGCGGAATCAGTTTTTGGTGAATTTCTCCACAATGGTTGCGTGCACAAATTTTTTTTTACCATACACAATTATAAGACGTCATACACTAAATATCTGCATAATTAAAATCTTTAAATTCAACAACATTCCGCTGCACGAACGTACGCAAAATCTCAGTAAGCTCCAAGTCTCTTCAGAAGAAACTCTTATTTGAGAATGTGAATGAGCTTATCGGTGGCCAAATCTTCAAATTTCTAACAGACAAAAGGCATCATGAAGCACTCTCCAGTGTTACAATACTTAGAGGTAGCGCCGATAGCGAATAAAAGAAACATTTATTCGCTCAATTTTATGTTTTGGAAATAAAGATCATCACATTTACAAGAAATATAGACTAGGTAGACTACTTATTTCAACGTACTATGCGTTTCGTCATGAACAGTAACATAATCGGTGAGCTAATCAACAGCCAAAAGTGCGCGAACTACCTACTCACGTGTCCCGAAACATTCTGAGTGAAAACTGAAAACGAAGTAAGTATAAATATGTAGGTAAGTATCGTGTATTTTAATCTGTTTAATAAATTGATAGAAAATCATGGGTTGACAGCCATTTAAAAAAGAATGCATTTACGACCATCAAGTTGATGTAATTTTTTACTATTTTTAACGACGTCATTATTATCTATCGTTAGAAAATAATGCAATGAATATACTAATTATTTTATTATTAAACGAAAAATTATATCCGATGCAGGTAATTCAAATTTAAATTTCTTTTACATTAATGTTACGTCATTAAATTTAAATTTAGAATCTTTGATTATGAGCTAGTTACATATTTTAAATTCCAGATTTTCTTTACTGTCACAGTTTTAAGACTTTCGTGGTTTCATTTTTATCATCCAGAACTAAATTTTACAAAATATTTTATATAGGTTTTTTATACAAAACAAAATCTGTAAACTCAAAAGATGTGTCAGTTGACATAACATTAAATCAGATATGATGAAACTAATTCTAATATTTACTGCGAATGCTAGCTAGATGCTTGGTAAAAATACAATATATAACTATGTAGATAAAATTAATATTAAGAAATAAACATATTTTCATTTATTATAATATTTAAGATATAGTTTATGCAAAATTCGTATTTTTCTAGATAATTTTCAAGAAATAAGTAAGTATTCTATTTGACGCAAAAAATACAAAAATGCGATATAGTACGGTTCGAAAAAAAATTGAATTTGACTGGCCATAATTGTGAAAAGAACTCAATTGAAATTGAATATCGAACTATTACGATAATTTGCCGATACATAGTAATAAAAATAAGTATATGCTTACATGATCAAGTGAAGGTAACATGACTTAAGTCATGACCTTTTCACGCAGTCTAAGCGTGGTACAGATACCGTACTAATAATTAACTACATCAAACTCTAATGTCGACATTACCTACTAACTATAAATTTATAATTATAAACTAATCATTTATCACTTTATGTTGTTTACTTGGATTGGAAGTTATTTTCGTAATTTATAGCTCTCACGGAAAAATGTGTAGAATAAATCTAGCTACTTGGAGTTCTGTACGTCCATGTCTTAATGAAAATTTTTTTTGTATTTAATAAATAGGATGGGGCAAAAAGTTTCTTCTAATTAAAAAAAAACATTATTCTTTATTAAGTTTATTTTCATTTAACTAAGGTACCTATGTAGGTACCATTTTGATCGATAACTTATTTCCATCTTGAATTCAGGGGCATGATCCTATTCCTATACAAATTTTGTAACTTGTTATCAAAATACCGCACCAAATGATTTCGGCAGTCCTCTTGTGATGCTAACCTACTCTGCCTAAAGAATTTTGAAACAGATATCTTCACTGATTGAGCTGAAAATTCCCATACACGTTTAGTTTACATGGCCATAAATTCTGTGACCCACTGTGGGTTGGGACTTTAAGTCCATAAAAATAGCTCAGGTACTAATTGACCTACCTAATCAAAGTTTGTTTTTACCTATTTTACTTTATAAAATTTCATCCCTTTCTCACCAAACCCCTTAGAAAATGACGTAATACAGTATTAACGTGGTATTAACCAATGAATAGTTAGTTTTAAAGCCCGGACGTTACAATGTTACCGTCACGTTGTCAAATACAATCAAAACTATGTCAACATTTCACATCAAAATATAATAAAAGTATCTAAATATACCCAGCATCCTCTGATTGTGAGCTATAAAGGAAATTCAGTTCATTGCATGCATTTATACACAGATCATTAACACACTCACATAGGCCTTATTCCGAGTGCCATAAGAATGTGTTTCCATTGATTTTGATGCATTGTGAATCTTATGTGGGTTGTAAAGAATATTCCGCTTTCCGGCGCAACGAACTTGAATTTGTTTTAAATATTTGAGCGACTATTACGCAGTTTGTTTTGTAGAAACTGTGGACTATGCGGTGATAATGGTGCATCTAAAATAATTGTTTATATTTAGAATTAAGCATATAGGCTCCAATACTTGTATATCATATTAGTTGATAAAAAATAGTTATTATTAAAAATAGGGTGCTAAAATAGTCCTTTTTTCAACTTATTAATGCGAATGTTTTTTTCCAATACAAATTGTTTGTTAGTCCCGTGTTTTGTTCTTGAAATACTTGTGACACTCCAGATAATTTTTAAACAATAAAATATGCATTAGAAAAATAGCGTGTAAAATACTAATAGCCATTATGAGTATTGCAGGTTGTATGAGTATGTTATTTACAAAAAAGTTTCTTTGCGTGTAGAAAAAAAATATATAATATTCTATTGTCTAATATTTTTTCTTCATAATATATAATAATAATACCCATTAATTGAGTTTGCCAGTCACCCCCTGCCGCTGTTTATCCGTATGTATCAATATTGGTCAGGGGCAGGGGCCATAGTATTTCCATAGTTTTCATCCACTAGTCCATAGCAACCCATACCCATAACGCTTTCTTATTATTACCACATTTTTGCAATAGTCCTGCATCAACCGGGGACTATCCTTGGGTGCACTATCATAGTGCATACAGGGATAATTGCCGGCTGATGTCCCATTTCACTTAAATTAAAGTTGTTTAACGGGCCTCTGCGAGTTGGCTTTGGCCCCTCGTACCAACCTCCACCTCCAAAGGTCCGGGATCCTGTGATTCCGTGAACGGAAACGAACACACAATAGTTTCCATTAGAAACTGTTCTGTAAATAACATTAGATATTTTGCAAGAAACAAACTTCAAGATTATATTTTTATTATTGAGACGGTCAGGAGCTCGCCGATTTTTCTATTATTGCATAATTTTATTTAATTTCAAGTATATTTCGATAAGCTCCGACTTATAAAAATACTCGTCGCGTCTTACGATTTCATTTGTTTTATTCAACAAGTTCAATAACCCTTTGCCTCCTTCGTAATAAGTTTTATTTACGTTTCGATGTCGCCAAGAATGGCCGATAAAAACGCAACGACATCTATTATAATGCAGATGTGATATAATCAATCATTTTCATTGATTTTGTCATTTTTTTTATGTAATTGGTCGGCAAAAGAGCAGACGGATTACCTGATGGTAAGCAATCAGCGCCGCCGCAACGGAGGAGTTACGAGTGCGTTGCCGACCTTTTAGGGATTAGTGATTTGGAGATTTAGGGATTGAGGAGGGATGGGGGCGGGGAGGGATTGGGCCTCCGGTAACCTCACTCACACGGCAAAACACAACGCTGTGGTTGTTTCACGCCGGTCTTCTGTGAGGCCGTGGTATCACTCCGGTCGAGCCGACCCATTCGTGCCGAAGCATGGCTCTCCCACACTTTTTACATATAAAAAGTGTGGAAAAAAGTGTGTAATTTTTTATGAAGGCCAATTCTATGGAATAACTTTTATTTTCAAATTATTATTTAAAAAAAAGACGAAGGAACGTTAATGTTACAACAAAATGGACACTATTATCTAGAAAGATATTAACAAACAAACAGTTAATCGTAATTCGATGTACCTAAAATACATATCTATCATGAAATCATCACGAGTATCAAAGTCCGTTGGATATCTTAATGTTGCTAAATAAAATGTTAATTATATGTACGTAATATTTGTTAATGTTTCGTAGTTTGGAAAGAATGGAACATTTAGGGCCTTTCATACTATAGGTTCAGAAATAAAATTTGATGATATTTAATTTGGCATAAAATATACTGATAATCTTAACTAGACACTATTATGAATGATATAAATAAATTCCTTGAAGAGTTGATGGTGATGAAGATCTAAGAAATGATTATGAGAATTCATCTGTAGAATAGGATAGATCAGGCATGTTAGGGAGCTCCATAACCGTAACCGAAACTATCGGATATCCGGTATAAAAAATATCCGTAACCGTAACCGAATCCGAAATAAAAGTTTCGTATAGTCTCAGTTGAGACACGTTATGTTTGTATTTTACTTTTGAAATTCCTTAAAACTTTAATATCCGTAGCCGAAATTATCCGAAACTAACGGATAATCCGAAATAATTTCATATCCGTATCCGTAACCGTATCCGATATAATAATCATTCCTATATCCGTAATAAATCCGTATCCGAAATTCCATATCCATAACATCCCCAGGATAGATGCCTTTTTTGAATGGGGAATGATTTCATCCACCCTGTGTGGGCTTGTAAACAAATAATCATTAAATTATGTTTGCACCATAATTAGTTTAATGTTTTTGTTTATCTATAAGTATCTGTAAACCTCATTTGTGCACTGTCATTATCTATCAATTATTACACCATGCACTGATTATGATAGTAAATTCTTTGTGAAAAATTTTTCAATGATGCATTATTCTCCTTTATTCACCTCCACTTTATCTCTTTTTTTGTTACAGTAACCGCAGCTCGCCGTCCTTCCAGAACCAGACCCGGGCGTACCGCGCATAGCGTTCCTCGTGCGCCTTAAGGAGCCCGTAGACCATATTAGGGCTGATGCTCAGCCAGCGTTGCTGATGTAGAAAGAGCAATTAGGAGAAGGAATGGGGTGATTTTAGTCAGTAATAAATAGTCTGACACTCTCTCTCGTTTCAGATTCAGATTCACACACATCACATCCGATTTCATTATCAGCCTATATGTGCCCACTCTATTGTCATACGCAGAAATAATGAACACTGCCTAAACACCTTTGACTGCACGGTTGGTGCGGTGGCTGGGCAACTGGCTGCCGTGCAGCGTGTAGCGTGTTCGATTCCCGCACGGAACCACTCTTTGTTGTTCCGGGTCTGGTTGTCATGTGTATGTGAAGTTGTGTGTTTGAAACCGCACCCACGACACAGGAGAAAATCCTAGTGTGGGGCAACGTTTTTTAAATAAAGAGAAAAAGAGAAAGAGAACGCCTTGGGTTGGCTATTTAATAATTATAATTTAAAATAATATGTCCTAATTTCCATATGAATATGAATCCAAGTCCGATTTCCCTATACCGTATGTCAGTCATATCTGGGAAATTACAGAAAGTGCGTATATCATCTTGGGAAAAGTCACAAGTATGCACTTACATAGCACCTATATCTATGTAATTACTTGTTACATGTTACCATAAACAAGAAAGTTTGCTCATACAAAATGTTTACTTAAAAAAACGGTATGTTGATTGTCTTAAGTACTTATTTTTACCGCGTTATCTCGGACAAAGAGTTCGCAATGAACACAATAACTGACATAGTAACTGAATGCCCAATTAACATTAATATTTAATTTGATTAGACACTACAATTCTGATAACTATCTGGAGGTTACTTACTAGATACTAAAAAAACCTTGTAATGTCATCATCGTAAAGATTTGTTGAAATGTATAAATAATCTCTCCGTGTTTATTAATCATAAATTATCCTTATTTAGGGGCTAATTTTATTCATTTTGGCCTAGAGGTAGGTTATCTAAATATGTAGAATCTGAAATAACCCAATTTTCTCTATATATGCCATAATACTGGAGCCGCTAGCACAAAGTAGTTAAAATCAAAATCGTAGCATTTACACACAGACATCTATGAATCGTTAAAATAGAAACATAAGTAAATAAATACAATGGCAGATACCTACTTTGATACCTACTTAAATAGGCTAAATATTAATTGTTTAATGTATGCTGACACTTGCAGCCAGACCTAGACTGATCACGCTACAACGCGACGGTCACGTAGTCGAAAATACTGACCGTTCACGGCCACCGCCTTCGTAGATAAATATTATTGTTGTAAGCGGGCCTACAATAACGATGTCACATGTATTGTATACTTCTAATTATAGTCTATCAAATTACACGTGCTGAGGAAAAATAATCAAATGTAGAAGGGATAACTGATAGATTTTGGTTAAGTATTATTTACTTCTTTTCGGCTAAGTATATTGTTTACTCGTAGATAGAACTTTTCCACATATGATGTATCAGTGTTAAAGAGGTTAAATCAAAATCTTTTATTAAGATTCATGCTTAATGATTGTCGTGGTAGCCCGGCTCCTCATGCACGAATGCGTGGGTTCAAAACCAAGTACCAATGTGACTTTTTCCAAGTTATATTATGTACTTTCAATATTTATTAAGTCATCACTTACATACGGTGAAGGATAATATCGTGAGGACACCTTGACTTATAATTATAGGTTTGAATTCGCCAATCCGCCTTGCGCAAGCGGGGTGATAAATGCTCAAACCTTTTCTGTGTGAGAAGAAGCTTTTGCTCACCAGTAGGCAATTATAAGCTGGTGATATGTGTCTGTCACCTTGATTGTGCAACGGTGACCAAAATTAAACGGGAACCTAGTAAATTTTCTGTTATTCTATAAATCTGAAGAAAAGTAGAATTCCAATCAATTTTGAAGTGTCATACTACAATTATTATCTAAGCTTAAAAGTCCCATATTTGGTAAGATAAACAAATCACATAGTCAGTCGTCCCTCAACCCGTTCCACGCACAATACCTGGTATAGTAGGCCGTAGTAAAACATTTAAAAAGTTGCGCGTTTCACAGGCCATAACGTGCCAACAGCACATTAGAACATTGCGAAACAGATATGAAGCCATTTCAACCCCTATCGCGTCAACAGTAATCACTGCGTTTTTATACAAGATTGTTTCATTAAACTTGGAACTTGGCCTAGTTTTTTTTTTATTATTTTGATGTGTTTATGACCCAAAGATGGATGTATCGGTTACAGGTTTAGGTTAGGTTGGTACCCTTTCGACGAGGCCCAAGCTGAGAGGGCCAGCACTAGTTTAAGGTGCGGAAGTTTGTGGATTCCCGTGACCCCACGTGGACGTGCAAGGCATGCCCCTCCGCTTTTCCCCGGGCAGACGAAGTCCACAAGGATTTCTCCCCGTAAAAAAGGTTAGTCCCATTTAAAATCACCTTTCGAATTTTATCTTTAAAACTAACAAAATCAGTAGTACCGAAAACGTTGCACTGACAGATTCTTGCAGATTGCACCAATCCACGGACGTTGAGGAGATCGAGGAGTATGGGCGCAAGACCAACTGGACATTGAGGGTCGAGATGTTGGATCTATCACATCACGAACTTCAAGTCGTTCGTGGTGCAATTTCGAAACAACAGAAACAACATCTCGAGACGTTCTTTGAAGAACTTCTCTTCGTTGAGGGAAGAGTTCTGGCCGAAGGGTGTTGTGTCTCGCCGGTTTTGTGGCCGCCTACAGGACACTAGTCAGCGAAACACGATGCCGACACTTCGTGTGCACTAGTTTAAGTTATTATGTAATATGTATTTATAGTATTTGTATATATGTATGTGGATATATACAACAAACTGTAATAAAAATAATAAACTTGAAAACAATCTTTAGGGATTTTGAAAATGATTATCAAATTACTGAGTCTGACCTAAATCGGCGCTTACACATGCAACCCATATAAAAAATGACAAGAAAAATATGAAGTTTTAAGTAAGAGTCAATCTAGGTGAAGAAAACGGATATGTCTGTGGCACCGTCTATCACGTTTTAAAACACGACTGATAAAGAATTCAAGATATGGCTCATCTAGACCAAGATAATTGGTGATAAAGTAATTGAGGCCACAATACATTAATATCGTGGGCAGAAATAAACAATATGAACGAAATATATCTAGACTAGCATGTACAGACACTGGCAAATCATCCTACTATAAAGTTTATTTTATTTAAATAGCCTTTATGTATACAATAAAGTCGATATTACATTTTTTCCTTTTTCTTTTTCTTAAAGAAACGTAACTTAGAAAATACTCAAGTAGGGACTTGAGTATTTTCTCCTACATCGTGGGTGCATTTACAAACATACAATTTCACATACACATGAAACCCAGATCCGGACCAACAATTTGTGCATCGCACAAAGTTTTGTTCCGTGCGGGAATCGAACCTGCGACACGTTGCACCGTAGCCAGTTGCCCAGCCACTGCGCCAACCGTGCAGTTAAATTTCAAGTAATATTAACTAGGATAATAATGTAGTAAAATTGGATAAAATTTATATGACCATACTATTACTATTGCTCTATTGCTATAATTACAATAGTTGTGGGCATTATTTAAGTAATTAACTTTACCGTAATTAATCTGATTGACTGTATGTCAAGCAAGTTATTTTGAATACAGATTAGAATAGTAATAGCCTGTTTCATAATTTTTTATAGATGTACCCGAAAAACTTATATGTCATACGTTATACAAATATCGTTCTATATTCAAATTTATCTGATAAAATAATAGTCTAATATAAGTGAATATACACATTGTGAAGCAGTTCCGAATTTTTCAAATGGTCAAATATATTTTACCTCTAAAATGTATGTTTATTTTTATTAAACACTAGCGGACCCCTGCTTCGCACGGGTATCCGACTACCCCGGCGACAGTCATTTGTTTTGTTAGCGAGCGGCCACAGCACCGAAAGGATTGTTAATTCCCGACATTCCCCTTTACTTTTCTAAAACTTTCTTTCGTAAGAACCTTCTCCTAAAAATAACGAACATAACAAAACAAGAATTGGCAAAATTGGCCCAGGCGTTATGGAGTTATGCGCTTACTAACAAATTTTGCGATTCATTTTTATAACATTTAAATATTTGTTAGGTCATTGAACTTTCGAAAACAAATCAATATCAATAATTCCAAAACACATAATCCACGTAACGTTACGAAAGCCTATAAAATAAAATCCATTCATTTCAGTAAAGCCTCGTAATAAATCCATACATAGTTCTTCTACGTACAAAAACTCAGGGTAGATCCCGATTCGAGATTACATCGTGATAGCATGACTATTGGTTATTCCCTGCATCGCACTAACCGAGCCAATGTAAATTGCCTTCAATTTATACTCGATAACATCCTTCTCTTATAGGCAACTTGTACGTTTACGACTGTTTTGTTTGTCTAATTAAAGTTGCTTTCAAACTATGTGAAAAGAATTAAGAAGATTATATGATATAACCATCGATACTCATTTTGGATCGTCTCTAATGATAATTCGTGATTCAAATATAGGATTTGTAACATTTTAAAAGGTATAACTTAAAAAAATCAGCATTCGAATTTCACTTTTATTTTCATACATCATAAATAACTTTATTTCGTGTCAAAACAATTGCGTTAATCGTTATTTGTATTGTATAAGAAAAGTGCAGTAACTTACCGGCATGTCGATCCTCGTAAGCCCGCGTAGTCCGCCCTCCGCGCCCGCCGCCCTACTGCCACGAGGAACAAGCCTCCACTGTGCCAGCTCACCACCTGGCCCCATCTGAAGCCTCCTCGCGTGACTGACATCCTCAGCTCTTGCATTCCAAATTTCAACCTTATCTTTCACAATACTGGAATCAATTTCCTTCCAACCCTCAGTGTCACGATTTACATTCGAATTTGATGTTTCTTCGACATTGTCTCCAGTTATTATAATCGCGGGTATTGCTATAGTATTATCCCCTTTATTGTCATTCAGCACAGAGGGTATATTGCCTTCTTGTGGTGGACCTCCGAATTTTTCTTTCAGTGAATTAATAACTGCTTGCCTAGCTTGTTCGTACGTTGCTTTCGCTTGGTCTTCCCTCCATTTTTTCAATACTTTACCTTTAGGATCAACATTAGTCACTGTTCTACCAATAAAGTTGGAATAGAGTTTTGAAGTTAATGCTCTTTGTAGTTTTAAATTATTGGTATTGAATGAATTGCTGTCATCGGCATTTTTACTACTGTTATTGTCAACTGTATCTTTTGCTTCGTTCTGTACGTAGCATTCTGTTTGTTGATCTTGGTTGCCGTATACTTCCCACCATCTTGCTCCCGCCTCATTGATTGGTGTTCTGGATCGCGCTGCGTGAGGACATTTTTGGTTATCACTCATATCACTAAACTTTTTACGAACTAATCATGGAATTGCGAACTAGAATGTTTAAAAGATCAAGATTAAAGTTGAATTTTCGACGTGTTACCTCCACTGAAGTTTTGCAACAACTAAAGATTCATCACCAAAAATTATCAAAAACTGCAAGTCAATAGTTTACAATTACCCTTTACCACGAAAGCCTAACTAAAAGTCTACAATAGTGCGTGTCTTTTTCTAAATGTATGGCGTTAAAAGGGATAGAATAAAAGTATCGTGTTTACGTGTCGTGCTTAATTTAGCTTAGTAGAAGTTGGTGAGACATCAACATTCGCGGCGTCAATAGCTATTGTGACCCCTATTATTGAAAGTCTATTTTCCTGTATGTAACTGGGTCAGTATGTGAATCGACAATAGCAAGTCAATGTTTAGAAACCTCAAAATGTTCAACATTCTCCTTTAGGTGTTTTATATTGATAAAACAGCGAACGGACAGACGGATGCCAAATCAAACCTCGTTAAGATATCCGAAGATATTATTAGAACAGAATTATATTGGCTATAAAAACTATAATAAAAAGGTAAGTACCATGCTTAGCCACACGCAACTTTCGACTATTGAGCGTATTCGGGAATCACTTTCAATAAATAAATAGTCCGTCTGTCTGTTTTCTGCTTTGAATGAAGAAGATTCTAAAACCAGCTAACATTTTTTTCAATTTTTAGCAAACAAAATTTATTGGATATGGCAGAGCCATGCTTTGACACGAATGGATCGGCCCGACCGGAGTGATACCACGGCCTCACAGAAAACCGGCGTGAAACAACCACAGCGTTGTGTTTTGCCGTGTGAGTGAGGTTACCGGAAACCCAATCCTTCCCCTTCCCGAACCTTTCCCCAATCCCTAAATCCCCAAAATCCCAATCCTTAAAAGGTCGGCAACGCACTCGTAACTCCTTCTTTGTTGCGGGTGTCCATGGGCGATGCCGATTGCTTACCATCAGGTAATCCACCAGCTCGTTTGCCGTCCTATCACATAAAAAAAAACTTCCACATTCATCATATTTTCGCTGGATATAAGTCTGTAGCAATGTTTGTAATTAAAGTTTTATCAGAATGGACTTGGCAACAAACATATGTCAATATTATTGCTAAAGGTATGCAACATTTGCAACATAACCTACTCAAACACATATCACATTAAGAAAAACAGTATCAAAACTTATCATACGTTATTAATAAACACACCAGTCCCTTTGACTCCCTTAGAATCTAAAGAAATCAATGTTTATCAAATAATCAAATATAATAATGAATTAAATAAATAACATCACTAATTGTGACACAACCCGTGAACCGGTACGTCTATCAGCGATCGAAGTTCATTCCTAACCATCCCGGATACGCAACAGAACGGTACCGTTATCTTAACTCCAGCTACTGCTGGCTGACCTATGAACTTGCTTACAATTATTAGTGGGCAACGTTGCGTAATATTTTCGTATTAATTACTTGACTTTTCAATCACATGACTTAAAAACAAACTTTAATCTGGATTGCCGTGCCATCTCACCGCGGAATTGTGATTAGCGATATATTTTTTCCTGTAATTAGGTAAAAGAGCGGCCTCTCTTTTACCTAATTACTATACATGTTTCTTATAATTAATATAGTTGCACTCGCTCCTCGGCTGCTATTGGTTTCATTGCGATGTTTTATAGCCTATGACTAGGAATGTTGAATGTTCTATCTAAAAATAATTATTCAATTCGAACCAATAGTTCAAACAATCTTTGCTGCTTGATCGTATGATAGTATAGTTATGTATATTAGTATAGATTTTCTCATTCAATTATCCCACCCTTAATTTCTCTTCTTCTTCTTCTTCTCAACGTCTCTTCGAGGAATAGAGTTAATGACAGGTAAATTTTCTATTTATCTAAGTCAAAGTAAAATCAAAATATTATAATAATATATTGCACCTTCTTAGGTATAACGTCTAAAACAATAATAGTATGTCAGTCTGTTTAACAGTGGAGCTAGGTGCTCAAAAAACCAAAACAAACAACACTTAAATAAAACGAATTTACAAAGACCATAAAGGACACTTTAGCCAAACAAAAGAGTCTGTAAGTCAGACTATCCGTCTGTCCCCTAGCGAAGCTAAGCTTGCTCGTTCCATAGTGTATATTGCTATGACGAAGAACAAGCAAGAAACTCCATGGTTATTCTTTTTCAATCTGTGCCACAATTAAATTATGTTACATTATTAAATGGGTTCCGTTTGTGAGAACAGTGTATATTAAGCCAACCGACAAACTAATACCCAAGATATAAAATTTGATAGTTTAGTTTAAAAATGACCAGTTCCAATTGATGGATCTCGTTCACGAATATGACAGGTACACCAGAACCGCCATACTGAACCATATTGTTAGGAATCCAGCAATCCAGTGTAGTGGCACGTGCCAAATAGACTTTTGAGTGAGTACATGTGAACAAGTACCAACATTCTACTGTACTAGTCTTACTTAATTTTAATACAATTGCAATTAATGTAGTTTAGTCTAACATGACAAAGAAACTGGCCACCCAAATAAACCACGTCTAGTCAAAATGAATCCTAGAATCTATTTTAATACCTCATTATACTTAATCATAATTATTCATGTTTCAAAGCCCAAGATAAATGACCCAATAATTATTGAAATAATATCATAATTAATGCCAATCTCGACCTTTTCACACGGCGACATTATTATCAAAGTGAGATACTTAATTAAACTTACGGACATTATTAAGTTTAATTTGATAAAAATGTTTTATACCGTCCAAGGTATGCGGAAACACGCATAGACAACATGATGTGCATTGCGTTGAAGCGTTTCGTCTTTTATTTTTTATTTATTTATCACAGACTGATCACCGAGTTTGACCCCGGATCGGATAAAATTATATTTGAATTTGGTATTTTAAATTTTTCGCCGACAGCACAGTATATGGTGATGCATTTAGCAATGTGAAAGAAATCTTATTCTGACGCGCTACGAAAAATTTGTTGCTATTAAAACAGATCTACGTCGCTACGGTGCTACGCCGTAGCGTCTACTGTTTTTTGTTTACTTTTCCGTCTACGTAATTTAACTGTGTAGTCTTGTGATTATACTTGTTTCAAGCTGCTTATCCTTTGTTAGCAGAACTGAAGACACGTTGTTTGTCTATAATGTAATTACAATGAACTGTTCAGGGGTAAAATACTCACTTGTATGTATTATACTTTTATAGCATCCATTAATCATAGTAAATCCTTTGTATGAAAAAATCTATATTTAAATAAGTGTTTTTTTTTTTAATATAATAAGTCGGCAAACGAACAGACGGATTACCTGATGGTAAGCAATCAACGCCGCCCATGGACACCCGAGGAGTGCGTTGCCGACTTTTTAGGGATTAGGGATTTGGAGATTTAGGGATTGGGGAAGAGGAAGGTTTGGGCCTCCGGTAACCTCACTCACACGGCGAAACACAACGCTGTGGTTGTTTCACGCCGGTTTTCTGTGAGGCCGTGGTATCACTCCGGTCGAGCCGACCCATTCGTGCCGAAGCATGGCTCTCCCACACTTGTGTCGGTTCACTATATTCAAAATACACTACAGGTACTCTTTAAGCATCGAAAGTCACGTTATATTTTACCATATTTATTTATTGTTAAAAACGATTTTTGTAAAAACTTTATAACAGTAATGTATGCATACTACACGTACTACAATACAAGATGCTAAATAAAATAATCCCAGATAACTTAATCGACTATCAGCAGAACTTCAAGGAAGCATCACGTGAGCGAAGAGCAAAGAGACCTGCGCATGCGCCGCCCGGAGATATCCTTGGTGTTGTTTATAAGATCGTATATTATGTTTACCTAACGGCAAGTAGGTCGCGTCGTCTGGACCGCCGTACTTTGTACGTCTGGGTGTAATGCACTCATGCGCAGGAAAATTACCGGCGACCTGCGCTTGCGACCTGTCTCGAATTCTTACTTCTTCTTCGAGTTTATTTTTTAATAAGTAGATACTATTTTTGGTTAGACAAACATTTGGCCCGTTGCTTTGTTTCACTGAAATTATTCTGTTATTATTAACATTAATTTTGAACGTCAGCGCACCATATTAGGTAATAAAACACTTGAAATAAACCGTTCAAATAAATTTTCTTTTCGAAAAAAACTTTAAATTTTCATTAATTCTAGTTGATTTTGTAACTGTATGTATAGGTGCTTTATACTCTTTCACAAAAGAACTACTTACTAAACTTATAAGTATAAAATTTTGCTCTGATATCAGTCTGTAATAAAATATAGGTTACTTTTTTGGCAACATAGGCTAAACTAATGCAACGCAACGCAACAGAGGCTGAACCAATGGACCAAATCATTTGCTTTATTGTATAAAAACAAGGAAAGTCAGTAAATGAAGCCTTGTATTGTTTATAAAACAAAAACATTGCATCCTACTACTTGCTAATTACAAATCCTTGATAGTAATCCTACTATCTTATCACAACGAGTACGGGATTGGTGCGTTTTATATAAAAATCGCTCAATATCACGTAAGACAGGAGTGAACAACTTTATAAATAAGTTTTATTGTTATTGTTATTGTAATTTAAGTGGTCTTCCTTTATTTGTGATTAACTGATCTTTATATGAAAGCGACCTGCCCCAACTTCGCACGGACGCAAAGTTATTATACATATAAATCTTCCTCTTCAATACCTAACTCTAACTATTAAAAAAACCTCATCAAAGTCCGTCGCGTAGTTTTAAAGATTTAAGCATACACTTTATTTGTGATTGACTAATTTTTATATTAAACATGTTTTATGTTATACATATAGTGTTTGTACTCGTTTAGTACCTTTTCGGAGAATAGAAATCAAAATCCATCCTTTGTCCCCCATCCTCGAATAACCCCCAAAACCACAGACAACGCTCTCGTTACTGCTATGGTGTTACCTGTGCCCATGAGCAGCGCTGATGGCTTATCATCAACATCTGATCTATCTTGACGTTTGCCACAAAAAAACAAAAAAGGTTTTTTAACTTTCCTCCTAAAAGTAAGTATCTACTTAGTACTTTATTTTTCCAGTTATAAAATTAATTTTACTTTACGCCCACTTAAGTATAATAATTACGTCTAAAGTATTTTATGGTATAAATAGTTTTTTTTTTTGGAAATCAAACAACATACTTTATCCGTTTTTTAAAAACCTAAGAGCCGAATGAGAATAAAGACTCGAAATTCGCCAAACCTGCTATAAACCAACGAGGCTCATCTATACTAATATTATAAAGGGGTAAAATTTGTAAGTTTGTATGTAGGGGGTAATCTTTAGAACCGCTGGTCGGATTGCCGAAATTCTTTCACTGATAGCTACAGTGTTCCTTAGTGCTGCGCTACAGGCTATAAAACATCACGCTACGATCAAATGGAGCCCTGCAGCGGGTGAACCTGCGTGAGAGCTAGTATACACATAATCGTCTAGAACGTTAGGCTGGGTTTTTCCTTACAATCAGTATTATCAATCGAGTTAGGTAAGTGACCTCAAATGTATCATTGATTACAGAAATCACTTATATAGACATTATAAATAATAATTTATAACGATAAAAATATGGTTGAATTTAGCACAAAACCTCCGTAATTTCCAAAACATTCTGTTTATTCATTGCCTATGCAGCATAGCACGTGTTTGCCTAATAATCTGGCTAAATTATGTATCTTCATTATGCTCTTATCTGATATCAAAGTCTATTTCAATTAAAGGGCTTTTTGATTAGGAAAGATTATACGCCATCCGTATATTTATGTAAAACGTGACTATTAAGAATTCGATCAAATGTAGGTAAAAAAATACCTACAGAATAATCTTACAGAAAATATATATGTATACGTTAAAAAAAAATAAACGAATTAATTATTTTACTAGTTACTGTGTATTAAAGTACATAGTAAATTATCTATTTCAAAATTTCATTCGTGTCCGTTCAGTACTTTTTTTATATATCCAACCTTATATACTATCGCGTTTAATATGTATATATATAGTAGGTAGGATTTTTCTGAAATTGAATACCTAAGCAAAACTTGGCTTAAAACAATTTCAATAACCAGTCCGAGAAATCTACAAATATGAATCAAGGTTTACATCGTGGTTTTCCTGTATGTCACAATTAGACAAGGGATGATTATGATTTTGTTTAACAATAAATGCTGTCAATGAATCAAATATTATTACGTGTAGTGGTAGCTTTTGTTAGCTTATCTGACACACATTTTGAAACATTTCGTATCGAAATACTACTTAAAACTATCGTAGTATAGACTAAAGGAAATTTTATAAGACATTGTGAAACAGATTTATTAACGAACATTGTCGTAAAAATAAACACATGACACATAAGAACTTGAAGGCACCGGGGGGTTGGCACAAACATCAACATGCCGATCATCGTCTTCACAGTCCATCGTAGGGCGTAGGATTTTATAATCAGGCCGAATAAATTACAAAAATAACGGACGTCGGCGATCCGTCTTCTACGACAGTCACAGCGCTTGCTCTCCTCCACAATGCGCACGCAGAACTGCCAGTTTGACGTTCCGCCAGAGTACGATTTATGGTACCCTCGTCCGATGAATTGTGATAAAACCTCCTTCAAAATTCAATTTAAATAATCGTCGCTCCGACAAACTTTTAAAACAAATCACTAACCTAGAATTACAAACATATTATCTCGAAGTAAAAATAAGGTTGACCACATGACACTGGCAGAATATAAAAAAAACACACACACACAAAACAACAACAAAAAAGCCAATGAAATCAACCCAAAAAAAACATTTAAAATGTCTACTATAGAAGCCCTCAATTGTATTCCAAATACAAATATTCGTAACACATAAAGACTATAGATAACGTCTAATCTACGTCTGCGATGCGTCTGCGGTGCAACCTTGGACGATGGACACTACGCGTTTTTTATATATTTTATCATAATCACTAACTTTACTACTCTTCCAGTCATTTGTAGCGAATAAGACAAAACTATTAAGGCCATATTTAATTTAAGTACCTATTTAAAATTGATAAAAACTGAAAATAAAGTTTTACACACATATTCTTATAAAAAACTGATACGTTTTTTGGATAATAATTAAGTTATCTGTCGATAAAGAATTATATCTTTAAAAATGTTTTCAAAATACAAACTAAACTAACGATTGGGCTCGATTTACTACGACTTCGTGAATCATTATTTTATGTTATTGGTGAAACCCGTATGAAAATCTGTTCAGCAGTTTCTGTGTTTATCGCATCAAAACAATCAGACGCAGTTAGACACTTCGTATGATTTATTTTTTATTAACAGAATATTGAAGGTCTAACAATGGGCACAGATAGCTGTGACCCCGACCTGTGGAATATTTTAACATCGATAGAGCCAGACGTTACAACATGTCTCATTATCTTCAAGCCCTTTGTCCCTTTTGAGGTGGCCATTATGAATTGTATATAATAATAATTTGCAAACTTGGAACGTTAAATCTTATCATTCGTTATGCTTGTACCGAGAAAGAAAATGTTATTTTTTTATTATTAACAAACAAATAAGCAACCTTTAAAATACAAATTTGTTTAATACAGATATAAAACGTATTTAAAAATATGAGATTCATCCCCGAATTGCTTGTATATGTATCTTCTTAATATCTGAAAGATATCTACATATCTATAATATATGGAACTCAATTCACAACTGGTATTACATTGAATTTAATCATTGGTGATAGAACATCAAGAGCAATTCAAGAAGCCTTAGGTATATTTCTCCAAATCTCTTCAACCCCTAATTCATCCCATCCAGAAAAGGCCAGTAAGGCCATCGACATGTACATACATCTACATCTACGAGTGTCCACGCACGACGCACTATATTTATTTATTTAATCATGAACAATTTATATTGTATTTGATGTCAGTATATGATAAAAATTTGCATGCAATGTAATAAAAATAACAGAAAAAAAACATTAACACAATAAAATAATACAAAAATAACATAGAAATTAAATAAAATTGCATTTACAAAAGTATTAAATTGGAAATAATTAAATTATAATTCATCGAATGTGTACAAGTTTCTCGCCAACAGAAATTCTTTTAACTTAGCTTTAAAAGAGCTAGTATACAATGAATCTTTTAAATCTGCTGGCAGTTTATTAAATAATTTTACTACTTGGTATTGAGGACTATGCTTGGCAACATTTAGGTTAGGTACAATTTTATTATTGAAGTCCTTTCTACGAGTACTTTCCCTGGCTATTCTCTCGTTTTCAGACTCAAATTCATAGACATACTTTTTAAAATTAACCAACAGCACTAATATGTACAGGCTAGGCAATGTTAGGATACCTAAACGTTGAAAGTGAGGTCGACAGCTTTCTCTTTGTGATATTCTTACAATTGTGCGAACTGCTCTTTTCTGTAGAATAAATGCTCTCTGAAAATTATACCCATAGCTTTTTCCCCAGAAC